TCAAGCGCATTACATCAAAATTTTTATACTAAAACGTACATTGCAGTAGAGATATGAAAAGCCCTTTAATCTCTATTTCTTTGCCATATTGTACAATATAAAAGCAATATATGATGTGAAATTTCTCAACGTTACAAGCAGCTTTCGACCGATATTGTAAATAGATGTTCTTCGTACAAGTAGTTCTCAGACAAGACACTGCAAATAGCAAAAGATAGATTCGTTCAATTGGATAAGGGTGAAATTTATCGCGCAATATATATCTTTTCTTTGACTTCGCAGTATTCGTTATTCCACGCCTGATAAGCAATAGTTTTTGTGTCAGAGTAATCAATATAAGTGAGATATATTGCTAGACACAGCAAAAAATAAATCATACAAAAACTATGAGTTAGGAGCACATGTTAGGACAAAATTACATTTATGATTTATTAATAACAATGTTAAATTGAAAATTTTATTGAATGTCGCTGCGGAATTTACAAAAAATTATAGAAACAAATATCCTATCAACAAAACAGACGAATCGATAATGCGTGCAAACTGCAAAAATGTATGTACTTAAGTGAAGCCAAAATAAATAAAGCTTCAACAAAATTCAACCATGATACATTGTTTAACTACCCATAGGGTAAGTTATCGTAGTTATAAAAATTATTTTTTTTATATATCTTTACGTTCCAAAGCCTTCTTAAATAGATGTATGTGTGTGTGTGAGTGTATATATGTGCGCATACAATTTTTGGCCGACTATTTCAAGAATGCGGGTCAACGATTCCTATTGATGGGGAGACGGGCTGATTAATATTTGGCCAATGCAAATCCAGCCATTTCGAAGATACGAGGCAGAAAATGCAAAAATAGTGATTCAATTTCTGATAGAACGGAACGTCTGAATTGAATGATTCAAAACACACTTTATTTGTATTGACGAAATAAAAAACTAGTTAAATTGTAAATGCAGGTTTAGTAGATCTTTCGAAGATCTAATAAAAAAGTTAGAAAAGAGTCTTTTGGCAGTCAAAAATAGTCATCAGACATATGCGCATCAAATTACCTATATAAATTTGCTGCTAATAATTTAATATGATATATAACAAACTATTCAAATAAAATAGTATCAATGGACAAGGGCGGTTATTTCCGTCCATTATTAAATTTATCAAGCATGTATTATTATTTTCCTCTGTTGAAAAAAGGAAACAAAGAAAAAATTATGTAGATATTATATGATCAGTGTAAAATATTTGAGTGCACAAATAAATATTACGACAATCCAGATCATAAAATATATCAAAGATTTAGTGTGTTATTTTGCTCTTTATTTAAGTTTGTTCGCATATTAACGAGTTTATTCATTGTTGGTTATTTAAATAAGCAACCATAATTGTTTGCACTATCTTCACAAATATTATATTTTTAATCTTGTGTCTTGGACCAGATGACAATTTTTTTGAAAAACAGCAAAAAACAAACAAAACAAACCAACATTTCTATAATGATGAATTGGGAGTTTTACTGAACATAGTCACATAGTTGTTTTTTTTTAATATGTGTTATTATTTGTAATAATTTACAATCTAATTATTCAAAGTCAAATTGGACCTTTGTGTCCTGCCCTACCCTACCTGATTCTTTAACCACTAACTTCTACAATAAAAATTGCACCGGGCCTACAATAATATTTATAATAATTTCAGAACAATGAAAAACTTTATTTTAGGATTATTTGCAACCAAGCAAATTTTGTAATTTTTTTTTTGCGATTTGACAACCCTGCATAAAAAGTTTACATTGTATTAAATTCATACGCAATATTTAATTCTCCAAAAACTCTATGCGCCAAAGTATGAATTGAGCGTTAGATATAAAATGACCACAACGAAAATTTCATATTTTGCATGTGAATACTTTATGCAAAGCAAGAATATATCTTTTTATAACCCGTATAATGTTTCTTTGCCCGTACCGGTTTCATATTTCGAAATATTTATGGCCAGAATATATAAAATTAAATTACTATATTAAACGAAAAACATGCTTCTCGAAAACAGAGTTCCCTAAACCATAACCGTTGATTTAGAACGTGCATAAAAACAGAGACCAGGAACGTTAAAATTCATATGTGCATCTAGAGAATGTACAATTGCGACAAATTGTAATAAATAAATAAATTTTAAATTCGCAGTGACATAGACAAATGGGACTCGTGTCCACGTGTCAGCGCGGTAGGAAGTGTAGCAGTTTATATTTCGACAGCGACACAAGTGCGCTTTGAAGCGAAGATTGTAAATGATTTTACGAAAATTTAGTCACGCTGATGGCATTAAAACGAAATGATTATTTATTTCATAGAAATATTTCCACAATGCTGTACAACAATGCATCAATCAAATGTAAACGTTGGCATTTCGTTGCTATGTCCTTTGATGTCCTTGGATATAAAATATTTTACATTCTATTTAATGCATTCAATTACAGACATATGTTTGAATTCAAAATATGCAGGGTATTCAAATGTGAGCATTGCGCCACGAACATATTTCAGGCATAGATTTTTTAACCATGTTTTTAAAATAATAATTATTGACACCGTTACGAAATAATAGTCATTTTTTGTATTTCTATTTTCATGACATAGACATATATACTTTGTTAAATTATCCAAAATTCAGTCTATTTGAGGAAGACAAGACAAAAATGTTACAAAAATTGTACTACATAAAGTCGCAGACCAAACCCTTAAATTTGGTATCATTGCTAGATTCAAATTGTTATTCCTTTATAATTTATTTATTATTAAAGAAAGTAATATTATATACATTAATTAAATTTGTATATTATGTATGTTGTTAAATATTGATAAGAAGCCAATAAAAAAAAATCCAATATAATGTATACTGTATACACATTGTTATCTCATCGAATTTACATAAATTTTTTGAAAAGCAACCGAGGAAAATAAACTATGAAACATGCAAATTGTATCAATTGATAATATGGGCTCGCCCGTGAGTAAGTATTTTGGACTATAAGATTTGAGCCAAAGGTCCCAAATTAGATGCCGACCAGCTTGCTGTCAGGCGATAGTGACATCGGTTTTTACTTGAGTCATCGACAGCAATATGTTTACAAACAAAAATAGCCCTTACCTAACATTGCTGCATCAAGGAAATAAAAATCATCACTACGACATAACTTTTTATTATATCACTTTCTTATTTTTCGAATAAAGATAAAAACTTAAAAAATCTATGAGCTATTGTAATAATTAACTTAACGAACTATGAGGTTTTTTATGGATGGTAACTCAAACAGTTGTCCTATCTGTATATGTCAGGTAACTGTTATTTTCACTAGGAAACATTGTTATCTATATTTCCAAGTAGAAATAGATGTCACTACTGCTTGAAATCAACCTAATTATTTATTTTACGTATTATGGGGGTCTTCCTATGTGATGAGTTGAAAAAATTGAATTTTTTTAATTTCATATTTCGGTAGATTATACCTTTAAAAATAACATATTAAAATTTCAAATCGATATCTCAAATAGTTTTTGAGTTACAGCCATTTAAAAAGTATACATATAGTATATAGTACAACGATCATTTTATCTTTAAACGCGTTTTTCTCAGAAACGGCTGGACCGAATTACTTGAAATTTACAGGGCACATTCAATATATTTAAGCGCATGGAATGAACTATTATCAATCAAAAATTTCAAAAGTTCGATTTTTTATAGCAAAAAAACAAAAAAAAAAACCGCCTAATTTGCAACTTTTATTTCAAATGTCTATAAAACATCCAATTTTTTTTGTATTCATTTGATTGTAGTTCATTCCGTGCTTTTAAGCCTACAAATTAAAACGCCGTTTATTTTTTTTGGTCATATAAGCCGATCAGCCGGAATCGTGGAGACAGTGGGAGCTCTTTTTTTTGAGGGGGGAGTGTTTAGAGCGCTGTAACTCTAGTTGGACTAAATTTTTTTAGCTGAAATTTTATATTTATACTGTCCAAATATGTATTAATAAATGACAAAAAACTTGAAGCTCTAACTATTTACTGGTCGTAGAAAAAAAATCTAAAATATCCCTAAATAACAGGCCGTCACATAGGAAGACCCCCTTATATCATTTTTTCATAGGTGGCAATCCAAAGAGTAGTTTCATCTCATTAACAGTGTGTTAAATTTTATTATTACAATACCTGTAAAAAAGCAAACATTTTATTGATGCAGCAGTGCTGGATATGGGCTATTTTTACTTGGAAACATATTTATATTTATATTTCCAAATGAAAACCAATGTCACTGCTTGACATCAGAGGGATCAAGCCCAGAACCTCTCGACCAAGTCCAGTCGCTCTAGCCACTTTCCCTTGAGTAAGCCCAAATGTTTAATAGATAATGCATATTACAACATACACAGTAACTTAAAACTTAAAAGATCTATGAGCTATTGTAAGAATTAACTTAACGAACTACAAGGTATGTTATGGATGGTAACCCAAACAGTTGTCCCATCTGTATATGTCAGATAACTGCTATTTTCACTAGGAAACATTGTTATCTATATTTATTTATAAGTAAAAACAGAATTTATTTTACGAATTATGTCGTTTTTCTTATAGATGGCAATCCAAACAGTTTTTTCTCATTAACAGTGTGATAAATTTTATTATTACAATATCTGTAAAAAAACAAATATTTTATTGATGCAACAATGGTGGATGTTTTACTTGGAAACATATTTATATCTATATTTCCAAGGGAAAACCAATGTTACTACTGCTGTCACTACTACAGTCCAGTCGCTCTAGCCACTTTCCCTTGAGTGAGCTCAAATGCCTAATATATAATGTATATTACAACAACAGTAGTGCAGCTTATGTACCTACTTGTAAGATTAGTTTTTTTTGGAATGTCGTATTATCCGAACTTCGCTGAATATTACATATGATAAACAATAACACTTTAATATTTCCCTTTCTCCTTCAGGAATGGAATGACATGAACTTGCGATGGAATACCTCAGAGTACGGCGGCGTGCGCGACCTCCGCATACCGCCGCACAGGCTGTGGAAGCCGGACGTGCTTATGTACAACAGGTGAGTCGAATTTGCATAACCGACAAATTGTCGCCATATTCGAAACGAAATAAGGTACTTTAGCGACATTGATATTCGCATTTTGCTTAACAAGCAGTATAAAAATATATTTGATAGACAAAAATCATCGTTATTTTTAATAGTATTTGTACGAATTATTTTATTAACTTCCCGTAGGGCAAGTTATAGTAATCGCAAAAAAATTGAAAATGAAAATTTTTATATATCTTTACGTTTCAGAGGTTTCTGAACATTTTGGCATACCTTAGAAAAATGGATGTATGTGTGTGTGTGTGTGTGTGTGTGTGTGTGTGTGTGTGTGGTGTGTGTATGTATGTACGTGTGTGTATGTATGTGCGGATACAAATTTTCGTCGACGATTTCGGGAACACGGATCAACCGATTTGAATAATTCAAAAAACATTCGATTTGTATTGATAAGGAGACGTGCTGATTAGTTTTTGGCGAAGGCAGGTCTAGCCGTTCCGAAGATACGGGGCAAAAAGTGCCGAAAACGGTAACTAAGTTTTTAAGAGAACGGAGCGTCCGATTTGGATAATTCAAAAAACATTTTACTTGTATTGACAAGATGAATAATTGATCAAATTTTCATGAAGGCAGGTCTAGCGGTTTCGGAGATCTAATGAAAAAAGTAAAAAAAAATGCCATTCGGCGGTTAAAAATGATCATTAGACATATGCACATCAAATTATCAGATATTTTATAGAGATTTTAACAATAAGTATAATTTTTTTTTACATTTCTATGAGTTCCGTACCAATGCTTATGCGTTAGACAGCGGCGCGGCACTTGCGCGCTTTGACATTTCGTCTCTATGCAGTTCAAGCAGTACGATTGCTTTGAAAAAAAGATCAGAATTTCCAAAATATGTCAAAATGAAGAAAACATTTTTTTTTTTCAAAAAAATTTTTTGTTTTCAAATAAAAATTTTTCTTTCAAAAAAAAATTTTTTTTTCAAAAAAATTTTTTTTTTTCGAAAAAAAGTAATTTTTTGTCAAATTTATAGTTTCTCAAAAATCCAATTTTTTCGAAGTAATTTTTTTTCAAAAATGTTAACCGTTTTAAAAAAAATAATAATTTTTGGTACGGGAAGTTTCAGCAATTTGCCTTAAGGCACGATGCCCTAATTGCCTTAAGACAGAATTTCACTTACAGCTAGTTAAATAACTAGCAAACCGCGCGAACTCCGTTTCACCACCAGATAGTTTCATTTTATGTAACATTTCGTTAGGTGATTAAAAGATGAAAAAAAAAATTGTCTGCTGTTGAAATTGAATAAAAAATTGCACAATACACGTGCTTTATTTGATGGTTTCCGATTGAAATGTTAGGAAACAAATAACTTATTTTTTAACTTCCCGTAGGGTAAGTTATAGTAATCGCAAAAAAATCGAAAATGAAAATTTTTATATATCTTTACGTTTCAGAGGTTTCTGAACATTTTGGCATACCTTAGAAAAAATGGATGTATGTGTGTGTGTGTGTGTGTGTGTGTATGTATGTATGTATGTATGTATGTATGTATGTGCGTGTGTGTATGTATGTGCGGATACAAATTTTCGTCGACGATTTCGGGAACACGGATAAACCGAATTGAATAATTCAAAAAACATTCGATTCGTATTAATAAGGAGACGTGCTGATTAGTTTTTGGCGAAGGCAGGTCTAGCCGTTCCAAAGATACGGGGCAAAAAGTGCCGAAAACGGTAACTCAGTTTTTAAGAGAACGGGCGTCCGATTTGAATAATTCAAAAAACATTTTACTTGTATTGACAAGATAAAGAATTGATCAAATTTTCATGAAGGCAGGTCTAACGGTTTCGGAAACCTGATGAAAAAAGTAAAAAAAAATGCCATTTGGCGGTCAAAAATAATCATTAGACATATGCACATCAAATTATCAGATATTTTATAGAGATTTTAACAATAAGTATAATTTTTTTTTACATTCCTATGGGTTCCGTACCAATGTTTACGCGTTAGACGGCGACGCGGCGCTTACGCGCTTTGATATTTCGTCTTTATGCAGTTAAAGCAGTACGATTGCTTTGAAAAAAAGTTTAGATCTTCCAAAATATGTCAAAATAAAATAAAAATTTTTTTTTTCAAAAAAAAAAAAAATAAAAAAAAAATATTTTTCTAAAAAAAATTTTTTTTTTCAAAAAAAAGTATTTTTTTGTCCAATATATAGTTTCTCAAAAATTTTATTTTTTCGAAGTAAAATTTTTTCAAAAATCTTAATCGTTTTTAAAAAAAAATTTTGGTACGGGAAGTTCCAGCAATTTGCCTTAAGGCACGATGCCTTAATTGCCTTAAGACAGAATTCCACTTACAGCTAGTTTTACTTTTATGCCGGTTTAACTGAGTAGCTGTCAAATAAATGAGTAGCAGTCACACAAAAAGTATTAGTTTGTAGTACATGCTAAGTATCAGAGATGACGCTGTATGTGAAAAAAGAAAAAGTAGTTTTTGCTTTTCAGTTGAAATCTTTCTTCAATTTTCTTTGCTATAAACCTCACGGAGTCCGAGACCTTTCCAACGAATGCAAAATCGTCAAAATCGGTTAGTGCGTTCCGAAGTTATATCGTCAGGAAGGAAAACTCGACTTATTTTTATATAATAGATAAATAACAGTACGTAATAAGCACCGAAAACGTATAATTAAATATTGATTATCAATATTTAATGCACAAAAGTTCAGTCTGAATATATATAGGGTGTTCCAAACCTTCACGTCAAACCGAAATGAGGTGATAGTATTGATCTTGAAAAAATTTAGAAAACAATAATTATTTCACGTTGTTTGTAAATTATAAGCATCTAAGTGCAACCTAGAGCTTTTGTAGAGTTATGACTATTTTTCGATTATTGTTGTTAATTTTATTAATTTTGTTCAATTAAACTTTGGAACCGTAACATTAATGACATTTCTAAACCTAAATCAAAAACATTACCACAACTGCCTCAATTTTTCAAGAACGAGGACTTTTTATTAAACTATGAACTTCAAAATCGGTCGGCTTTGAGAAGCCCTTCCTTCAAAAAAATGTACTAAAGTGTGTTGGCAAGTTATATCTACCGTAGATACATTTAATCAAAATTGAAAAATGGTAAAAGACTTGGAAATTTTATTATTAAAAATTTTTGAGTGAACCAAATAAAACCTAAACTTTTATGAATTTTTAAATGCATCATATGGTGGATATCCATATGATTAATTAGATATTAAGCGGACTGTAAATTATAAATCTTCCGTCGCCATAAGAAAAGTGAATAAAACAACTATTTGCTTTACTTTTGCTGCTCTCTCAGTTATTATAAAGTGCATGTATTTTTTATATGCAAAAATTTATACCCCCTACCCCGTAAGTCCCAGGTTAAACGGAGAAAGACCTGTTCAACCTTACCATAAGGCCTAACCTTACTAAAAACTTCTTAAATCGCATAAGTTTAGAAACTAAAATATAAGAAGTAAATAACTACTAGGATATCATCTAGCACTGTAAAATTTTTATTGCTATTTCTACAGCAATTTTCGTACGAATTTTGTAGAAATTATTTTTTTATGAATGCCAAACAATTGAAAATATATGAAAGCGATATAAAAATGATACATACAAACATGTTTCAACCGCAACAATTGCCATTAAAATTAATTAAAAAAAGCAATTAGAGCACATAAGACAAAAATATTACAATTACCTGTGGTAGGTTTTCATGCATTCGTTGACAAAAAATGAGAAGGAATAAAAAAATATATCAAATGTATTTAACAATAATATTCTGCAAACAATTTGGCAAGCAATGTGATATTTGAAAAAATATATAAGCTTAAGTGGTTCCTAATTGTTTCACACTTTCATATCCAACACAGTTCTATCTAACAATAAGCAAATAGGATAATCATGTAATGGTCGATTATAACTGTACTCATTCTTGTTTGAACTTTTAAAATACAGTATTATCCTTAATAAAGAATTTTTGCAAAATTTCAGTTGAAGATGGGGCAGGGTACAAAGTCTAATTTGACCAAGCTAAATATCACAAAAATAGCACATATCAAACAAACAACTATCTGTCTGAGTTCAGTAAAACTACCAGGTAATTCATAATTATATTAATGCGTTTTTTACTGTTTTTTCAAAAATTTAATGTTCTTGTCCTATGGCGGGTAAAATGGAATGGTCAGTGGGCAAATAGGCCTAATGTCTTATTTTTAATTAAAAGGAATTTACGAAATAATAGCTACAATATATAACCATTGCAAAATATATACTTCATAGGTACATTTTCACAGAGATAACACTTGATATAAACTTGATGTAGTATTTCGTCAGAAATAGTCAACAATTGAGTTGGAATAACTAGTTATTTAAATTATCTCTTGTAAAACTGCTTTTTTAATTTATTTTTATCGACTATTTTTTATTACACCTCTGCCAGGGTAAAGAATCAGTTGATTCTTTTTATCCCTTTGACTTGTAAGCTTTTGTAGAAGTTATATATAAACGAAACATTAGCAAAATGTCTTATAAGACACTTAAATAACGTATACTTAAATTTATATAAAGGTCTGAACGTAAACTAAACCAAAAAATAACAACGAAAGAAAATTCTTTTGCTATGGTTTCTTCAATATTGTTATTCATTTCCCGATAGGAACGTTATAAAAATCAAGATGATGCCTGGTTATTAATGTTTTTGTCTCTACTTGTCTCTACCCGAGGACCTTTAAACCTTGTTCTACCCTATCTCTATTATAACTTATCTTTGTTAAAAGAGCTATATCAAGACAATTAATATTGTTGACATATATAAATATTAGATTTATAATACGAGTATCTCATCAATAGGCATGTTTGCTAAATTGCTCAATTAAAATAGTGAACTAAAAAAGTTTTTCCTCTAAAGGATTATTGCAAAGAATTCATCGCCTCAAATATCACACAAACGATTTTTCTGAAAGCGGTTCAGTATTG